CTACAATGTCTAGCCAAAAACGTTAAAGAATGACGCTTTTGGGAGGCAACCCAATTTTTCCTTTTCAATTTTTTTCTTTCTTCTTATTTTTATTCTTGATTTTTCAGAGTATAATTAATATTGTTTTCTTCTCTAGGTCAGAAGATGATTTTTGTAACCTGTGGGCACACTTTACAAAAGTAGAATTAATCCTAAATTCTCTCACAATCCAGAAGATATTTTTTTAAAAGACGTGCCCACATATAAACTCAACAATACTTCTGGTTTAGGAAGTAAGATTCAAAAAAAATTATAAAAATATAAAAATCACTGTGCCCTATCTTTTACGTTCTCTATTTTCTCTGCTCTTTCACAAGAATAGCGCGCCACCAGCCATCCTCCCTGCTCCAATGCACTTCTCCGCCTAGTCCAAGAACCAGCCCAACAATGCGCGAACCTGTCGAGCTCTGCCCCATCCGCCAAGCCCCTTCCAACGCGCACAGTGAAGACCCCATCCAATGCATCACAAGCAACGAGCAGCTAACATGGGGAAAAGGCAGATCACCACCAAGCCAAAACCTCCCCCATAACGTAAAAGAGCAAGATTTGGCAAAGGAAAGCATATTCTTCCACCTTCTGAGACAGAGCTGAATGGGCATTTGTCATTCACAAAAAAAGACAAAGAAAGGTATCAAGAGATTTGTAGGCGACCCATCATTCTCTGTAAGTATATTCATTCTCATACAATGGAAGTCTTGGATATATTTACTGTTTTGTTTGAACGCATTGACAATATTGGGTGGCAAAATTACTTTCTCATTAAGTGCCCTGCCTTTATTGAATTAGTCAGAGAATTTTACACTACTTTTGAGTTTAATAAGACTGCTAATTTCACACTTCATAGCCCACAAGTAGTAAAGTTTAGATTAATAGGAAAAGAATTTAATCTCTCAATCACTTAATTCAACATTTCTTTTGGATTTATCTCTGAAGAATATGCTATGTCTGATGAATATTTGAGTAGTTCTTGTGATTTTAGTGAGGCCTTTGAACCAGTTAGATTGTATAACACTCTCTCCACTGCTGATCACTATGACCCAAGTAAATCGAAAGACACCAACCTCCTTGACCCTGTCTTGAAATACATTCATAGGTTTCTTGCATTTACTTTTTCGGGTAGGAAAGATTCTGATGATGTGTTGAAAAAAGTTGAGTTTTATTTTTTGTGGTGCACGCAAAACAAAATCAAAGTGAATCTTGGTTGTTGGTTAGCTTCACAATTTTCTAGTGTTCTCAAAACCAAGCATCCCTTGATTTTAGGTTCACTAATCACACACTTAGTTATTCATGAAAAATTGATTGATCTTCAGAATAATGATCTTCATATTGCTTGTAAGATGTTGCCCTTGGACTTATCTTGTTTAGAGAGGATGGGTTTAGTTGGACGCAAAGAGGGTATCTTCTATTTTTATCCTCCAAGCCCTGTTCTGACACGACTACAATGCAAGCTACTTTGCGCCAATGATAATGACGAGCTCAACACTTCTACCGACTTCCCATCTACATCCACCACATCATCTTAAGGACAATTTGGCAATCAGCTTGCAAGAATCTAATACCATATTGCCCGAATGGACATAAACATGACAACTTTCTTTGCCTACATGGGATTCACACCACCTTCACCCTTCAGCTCGTGAAAAATATCGTGGTTAATGCTCCACATTTTCAGGGAAGTTTTATACTCTTATTTTTAATGGTTTTTGAGCATCTATTTTTGATACATTGAGAACAATGTATGGATTAAGTGTAGGGAGAGTATTTCATATATGGTTTTGGTTTGAACAAATTTTTGCTTCAATTTTTGAAAAAAAACAAGTATGCTTTAGTTCTTGTTTGTGATTTTCCTCTTCGAAATTCCAGATTCTTTTGATGTTTGTCCTTACATTATTTGAATTGTTGTGAATTATCGAATTAAGTTGAAGCATAATAGGGGATTAGCTTGAGTAGTTGAATTCTTATTTGTTACACACTGGTGATTACTCTTGATGACTGATTGAATGAAAAATGTGTGGGATTTGATACATGTTTACCCTTTATGCGAGTTTTTAAGCCAATGAGCACTCATTTTACAACATGCTCCTTTTTCTTGATTGAGTGACTGCCATACATAATTGATTTTTCTAGAAGTTGCTTTGCTATGCATGTCGAAGATCACATTTTAGAATTAGATGCATCAAGAACGATAAGGGCATTTTAGGTGAAACCAGTTCAGCTTTCGTAAAAAGCCTACCCTAATTCTCATCCTTAGAAAGCCAATTTTGATCCTTAGCCTTTTTTGTTCGAAATTAACCATGGTACAAGCAAATATCAAATCCTTTTTGTTAATTTCCCTCTTTTGAACCTTGAATTAGAGGATTGTATGAGTTTCTTCACATGAAAATTAAAATTATCTTGTGAAGATCGGAAGATGTTGGAATAAAGTAAGTTGAGTTGAAATCTCTTTTATTTTTAAAAACAAATAAAAAAAGAAGCAAAATTGTGTAAAGAAAAGGAAGAAAGAGAGATTGTGCAATAAAAAAGGTTATGTGGCTGAAGAGAACATTTGAGATTGAGTTCCATGTGGATAAGTTTGTATGATTCCTTCGATAAAACAACTCAAATTCATTTCCTACCAAACCTCACCTAAGCCCCATTACACCCTGTTTAAGACCCTGAGGTTTTTTATGCATTCAATTCATTGATTAGTGGTGGGGATGTGATAAATTAGCAAGCTTATGGTAAAAGTCTTCCTATGTTTTGGCTTGAGAGTTTATTGACACCCTAAACACCTCGAGCGTATTGAGTGAATCCAATGTGAGGGTCTTAGATCCTACTGCATTTTGATTTCGAAAATATTGATGGAGTGATTATTCATGTGTGTTGGTTTATGACAATTTGTTCAACGAATTGCTCTTTCCTTCCTTGTGTCTAGATTTGAGTCTTTAAGGCATGACAATTTTGATTGTGGAAGGATGAGTAAAGGAAGAAGAAGGATTGATGTTGAGAAGAGTTATGAATTTGAACTATTGTATGTTTGATGACAAGCATTGGTTTAAGTGTGGGGGAATTTGATAAGTTGCATATTAGCCATATATTTTATGATATTTTCCTCATATTTGAATAACTAAAATTGCTTAAATCATGGGTTTGATTATATTTCGTATTTTGTGGATTATATTGAAGATTTGGATTAAACAAGTTCAAAATCTAATTATTAGCATGATTTTTACAAAATCCCAAATTAAAGAGGAAAAATTGGAATTCAAGAATTTGGAAAGACCAGAAGAGGTTTTCGCATAAGGTGTGGGCACGGCTTATTCATCCTGAGCTATCGTAGGAGAAGTCTGCAGTTAAGGCATGGGCACACCTTATCAGTCTGTATAACCATAAATTAGGGTTATGAATTTACAAGGGAAAAGGATTTTAATGACGGCTGAAAGACTATTGAATCATTCTTATCTTTAGAGAAGGATGAGGGTATCCAAAACCCTTTATTTTGGTGGGATTCACTTTTGGGAAACTTCCTAGAATATAGTAATCCTTATAAAAGGGGAGCTAGGGTTTTCATAAGAGGCAGTTTTTCTCTAGGATTATTTATAGATTTCATCTTTATTTTCTTTTAGTGTTCTTTCAATTACGAGTAGCTAAATACTTTTGTTCCAACTAAAGGATAATTGAAGTTTTGGTTCTTCAAGAATTGTGAGATCTAAATAATTTTCATTGTTCTTTTATTTCTTCACTATTTATATATCTTCTATATTTATTAAGAATTATTGTCTTGATTGATTGTTGCAAATGGCCCGTTGTTCAATTATCAGGTTGATAAATTGTCATTTAGAACTTTAAATTCGTAATTGTTTAAACGTTCTAATATTAGTGGTAAAGTAACATAGTTGATTTTTGATTATGTTATGAAGGTTTATAATCTAGTCTAAATGAATCGAGCTTGTGTATTTGTTTGATATAATTGGTGGTTTCTCTAATAGTTAATACTGTTGGTGGATTAAATCTTAAGTGCTTGTTTAGGGTTGTTCATTAACAAGGGAAATAATCAAAGAACTTCTCTTGTTTATCAAGAAACTAAAGAGAGATAGGTTGTTAGAGCTTGTTAATAACCATAACCAATTTAGTGAAAAATAAAAGATTTTATCATTGCATCTATGATCAATTCTCTGAATCAATTCTGAAATTATACCTTTAGTTGGATATTTACTTAATATTAATTTCTCTAAATTTTGGTTGATTATAATTGTTTTTTCTTTTGATTTTTCTCAATTTCAAAACCCATTTTCTTTGCTTTAATTTTCATTAAAATAAGTCTACTCAAATTTCTATGGATTCGACCTTGCTTATCGCTACTACAATTTATATTTCTAAAAGCAAGTATTATTATTTGTTGGATTCGACACCCACTATCGCAACTATTAGCCGCGTCAATGAAGAAAAAATTCCACAAAAGATCGAGATCTATAGCGGCGTTGTGGGTACAGATGCCACTAATTGTCATGATATATAGCGACGTTTGTTTCTAAAACGTCGCGAATTATCTTGTCTCTAGTGGTTTTTTTTCTCCAAACGCCGCTATAGGTTATAATCTATAGTGGCTTTTTTTTATACCAAAAACGCCGCTATTGAATATGCATATAGTGGCATATTTTACAAACGCCGCTAAGATTATCTGGTTTGGCATATATTATTTTCTACTCTTTATTACCAAAATTTAATATCATGTAACATTATCCAATAACAAGAAACTTGAAATTTAATTACGACACGAATTAAATGAATTACTTAACAACAAAAATAAATCAAAGTTTATAAACACCAAAGTGAAATGTAATATAGTTATTCTCCATGAATACTGATAATATGATATATTTTGAGGTTTTTAGGGTGTTTCATAGCTATGTTACTAGAAACATCATGTTCCAAAACCAACAAGATGGACATTACAATGAAAGATGGACATTACAATGAGAATTCATACGCTTAAGATGTCTTTCTCCTTCAAGCTTTCAATGGTATCCATCAGATTCACATCTTAAGGAATGAACCTCATACCGAAACTCTTTGTTTTCTCTTGGGATATTTGAAAAATATGCTCAATCGGCTTGTCCTGATCTCTCCAGCTCTAATAAATTGAAGAAGACATGAATTTTATCAATAATATTATGTCTATCTAGTGATCTATTCATCTATGTTACTCTGTCGTGAAGCCTCAATTATTGATGAGTAATATTATGTCTATCTTAATTTTAACTAATCACGAGGTATTAAAACAAACACGATAAACATTAGTTTAAGATCATATCAAGTATTAACTTTTCCTAAAACAGACCAGCTTATAAACTACCAGATATTTACCTGTTCAATTACACCTGCTTCCGGACTACTCACATCAATTGTCACCTATTTGTATCATATAAGGGGAAAAAGTCTTACTTATTCAGAATAAGATGAAAAATATTATCTGCAGCTAATGCAGACTGAGTAATGGACAAAACTATAGATGTGGATGCTTAGAAGGAATGTCACCTAGCTAATGAGTACCTTATTGGTCCTATTTGTGCAATTGGTTCATCCACTTCTACACGGTCACTGGTTTCTGATCCCCCATGAACAAAATACGCTTCAAAAAGTTAGATAGAGTGCCATCGGTGATGAATTCCCCCATGAACGGAACAACAGCATCAAGTTCACCTTCATAGCCAAGCAGGGGCATTTGAGTTTAGGATCAGAACATAAACTGAATTTCGAAAATAAGAAAATAAAATCACAAAGAATCACGAGAATGTGTTACCAGTATTGGTCGAAAATGACCTAGTGTGGACAAATATTGGAGGAGATCTTTGAACAAATGAAATAACTTGCATGTAAATAATATCCTTGAAATATGTTACGTTCTCTGCAACCATTTTGATGTCAAGACCCAAACTTCAGTAAATATAAGAATCAAGGGACACACTAGCCTTGTAACCCCCTAGACCCGGCCTATACGTTTCGACTAAGTCTAGTGGATCACATTATGATTATTAAAGACATTTTTCGAAACCGTTATTCCATCAATATAAAATCACATTATAAATAACATGAAATTATAAACAAATCATACTATCAAAACCTAACTTGTAAATATAATACCAATAAGTAATAAATTAATTTAAAACATATCTTAAAAATCAAATCACGATAAACCGAATAGTAATAGTAAAAATGTCATCATATTAAAATCCCATACTTTAAAATAAGGTCCATGTCAACAAAATAAAGTCAACTTGCAAGGTAAAAACGTTACAATCAGATATACTTCAAGAGATATGTTGATCCTCCAAGTGCTCAATCCAGGGTATCTAACCAACAGTATCTGAAAGGGAAAAAAACATTTTCGAAAAGTGAGCTAGGCTCAGTGTGTCCCAATATTACCATAAAATCACTATAGGTACACTAAACATATCATAGTCCAAAAAGTCTCATAAAATTATACTGCAGTAAATCTCTTTAAAAAAGCGTTACCCTAAGGGAACATCTTAGGGCCTGAGAGCCTACCCAAGATAGATTTCGGGGCCGTGAGGCCTACCTAAGAGCACATCTTAGGGCCGCAGGGCCTACCCGAGAATGATCTCAGGGCCGCAGAGCCTACCTAAGAGTCACATTAGGTTTGTAAAATTTTCCAGCTTGATCAGAGCTGTAATTTATAAATTCGTATTCCAAAAATTCAATTGCACCGTGTTATAAATTCCATAAATCCATAAACATGGTAATCATATACCATTTCAAAACAAATATCAGATAACAGTCATAATCCATAAATCATCACATTAAATCGGTGCATCAACAATACGGTAACCAAAGAATTCAGTGTACCACATATTAAAACAAATAAAACAGTTCAGTAATAAATAGGGAACACACCTCGATAATATGTTCAAATCGTGGATCTACTGATTGCTGGTTTCACCACGCTCTGCTACAGTTTTCGAACCTAATTTATAATATCACTATATTACTAATGGGTAACATAAATAAATCTCTAAAATCATAAAATTTACGAGTCTTACGAGTGAATACTGGTATACGTGGTTTAACTGATCTAGAAGAGTTGGGTCGAGCTATCGAACGATCCGGAGAGTCTATTGTACCTTCAAACAATAATAATTAATCAGCCCCAAATCTTACTTAATTGTTCAAAGCTAGAATTCTTAAGTATATAAGCATTTTTCGGGTTTGACTATCATTTTGGGGTATTTCGAGTCTGAATTTGGCCAAACGGACTGCGGAATCGGAATCAGGACGTCGAAAAACATAAAGTATGACTTTTTGAAAATTCAGATTCTTGGTCAAAGTCAAAGTCAACCACTTTGACCGTAGATTTGGAGACCTTCGGATTTGAATTTGACAAAACAGACTACGGAAACGGATTCGGCACGTCGAAAACTATCAGGATAGGTATACTCGGAAAAGATTAACGGTCGTTTAATGCTCAGTCAAAGCCATTTTAAGTTTTGGTCAAAGAAAGTCAACGGTCAACGGTCAACAGTCAACGGTCGGGTCGGGTCGGGTCAACGGTCGGGTCGGGTCAGACCGGTCAAACCGATTCAGACCGGTCAAACCGGTTCGAACCGGTTGAAACCGGTCAAACCGGTCAGAACCGGTTGAAAACCGGTCAAACCGGTTTCCAGCAGCCACTCGCCCTGCGGCGGCGCGTGTGGCGCGTGAGGCGTCCTCCGGGGCCCTAAAAATCCCGGAAAAATTTCTAAAAATTATTTTGAGCGATTTCAAGATACTTACAACGATCGGTTCAAATTTTTGAACGGCGGAGAGCTCGATTTCAAATCGGCCGAATCTTTGACTGCACCACCTCCTCATGCGCCGCCGTCTACGGCGGACAAGATTGACATCGGTGAACTCGGAACGGCACAAGGAACACGATGGTGCGGGAGGTGTCGTAAACAGAGCAACGATCAGCGGTGAATTTAAGATTTTCTCGGCGATAGAGCTAACAAAACCGTCGCTACTTTGACTGGAAATTCCCGACGTTTGGCCGCGTTTCGCTTCAATTAATTTGAAAGTTTTGCTCCTCGCTCGATGATGAACACAACGGTGGTTTCAAAACAACGATCGGAATTCGGACGGCGTCGGAATCGAGTTTGGAAGTTGTGTGCGTGAGGAAGGATTTGTGAAATTGATTTCTGTTTTTCAAAACAGAATTCACGCATATATCAATTGTCTGCCGACACTCCATGGTTAAATTCAGGGCTTGGTCCCTGAATTTTCTTTAACTTTAAAACAAGCTCCAAGTTTTAAATTCTTTCAATTCAGTCCCAAATTTTCACAATTAAACCCTCAAATTTTAATTAAATATTATTTTGAAAATCGGGTTGTTACAATTCTCCCCCTCTACAAGAAATTTCGTCCTCGAAATTTACCTTATGAGAATAGTTGAGGAAACTGAGCCTCCATTGACTCCAATGTCTCCCAAGTAGCTTCTGAGGGGCCTCGATTCCTCCACTGAACTTTGACCATTGGAATTCATCTATTCCGAAGAACTCGTTCATCTCTCTCCAAGATCTGAATGGGCTCCTCTTCATATGACAAATCAGGTCTCAGCTCTACTTCTTCAACCTGAATAATGTGACCTGGATCTGGATGGTATCTCCTCAACATTGATACATGAAAGACATCATGAATATGACTTAGCTCAGAAGGCAACTCAAGCTGATATGCAACAGGTCCTACCCTCTTCAAGATACGAAATGGTCCAATAAATCTTGGACTCAATTTACCCTTACGCCCGAATCTTAATACTTTCTTCCAGGGTGAAACTTTCAAAAAGACCCGATCTCCCACTTCAAACTGTATATCCTTCCTTCTTTGATCTGCATAAGATTTCTGCCTATCAAATGCCTCTTTCAGACGGTCACGGATTAATCTGACTGTGTCCTCCGTCTCTCGCACTAACTCAGGTCCCAACGTTTTCCTATCACGCAACTCAGTCCAACAGATCGGAGTGCGACATTTACGCCCATAGAGTGCTTCATAGGGTGCCATACGAATACTGGTCTGATAACTGTTATTGTAAGCAAATTCAGCCAACGGCAAAAAGTTCTCCCAACTACCATGAAAATCGATTACGCAACCCCGCAACATATCCTCCAGAATCTGAATTACTCTCTCAGATTGACCATCAGTTTGTGGATGAAAGGTTGTACTATAATCCAATCTTGTTCCCAAAGCTGTATATAACGCCTTCCAAAATCTCGAAGTAAATCTCGGATCTCGATCAGAAATAATAGACAATGGAATACCATGCAATCTGACAATCTCTGAAATATACAATCTTGCCAGCTTATCCAAAGTATAATTTACTCGCACAGGAATGAAGTGAGCTGACTTTGTAAGTCTGTCAACAATCACCCAAACTGAATCTTTTTTCAAAGGAGTCATAGGCAAGCCAGTAACAAAATCCATAGTAATACGCTCCCATTTCCATTCAGGAATCTTGATAGGCTGTAACAAACCTGATGGATGTTGATGTTCTGCCTTAACTTGCTGACAAGTCAAACACCTAGCCACAAAGTCAGATATGTCTTTCTTCATACCAGTCCAATAATACCTCTCTCTCAAATTCCGGTACATCTTATCTCCTCCGGGGTGCATAGCATATGGACTACTGTGAGCCTCAGTAAGGATAGTCTGCCTCAATTCAGCGTCATCAGGCACACAATATCTACCTTTAAAGCATAAAACTTCATCCTGATCAATTGCGTAATCTGTGTTTGTCCCCTCCTCTACTTGCTCAAAGATGGAAAGCAAGGAGCTATCAAGGGGCTGCTTAGCTTTGATCTCATCAACCAAGGTCGGCTTAACTTGCAATTCTGCTAACACAGTGCCATCGTCATATAAATTCATCTTGGCCATTAAAGACCTCAACTCCGATACCGTCTTTCGACTCAAAGCATCTGCTACAATGTTAGCTTTACCAGGGTGGTAATCAATCACGCAATCATAATCCTTTAGAAGCTCTAACCAGCGACGCTGTCTCAAATTAAGTTCCTTCTGAGTCAGAAGATACTTTAAGCTCTTATGATCTGTGAAAATGTAACACTTCTCTCCATAAAGATAGTGTCTCCAAATCTTCAAGGCAAAAATTACTGCTGCCAACTCTAAATCGTGAGTAGGATAATTACTCTCATGCGGCCGCAGCTGACGGGATGCATAAGCCACCACCTTACTTTCCTGCATTAAAACACAACCAAGTCCTGAATGTGAAGCATCACTATACACTGTAAAATCCTTCCCCGACTCCGGTTGAATCAACACCGGTGCTTGAGTCAAAACCGCCTTTAATTTCTCAAAGCTCTCCTGTTGTGCCTCGCCCCAGTCAAACAACACATTCTTCTTTAACAACTTTGTCAAAGGAGAAGCAATGATCGAGAAGCCCTCAACAAAACGTCGATAATAACCAGCCAAGCCCAAGAAACTACGGATTTCAGATACGTTCTTAGGTCGTTTCCAATTCATAATAGCCTCTATCTTGCTGGGATCAACCTGAACACCTCGCGCAGAAATAATATGCCCCATAAATGACACTTCTTGAAGCCAAAACTCACACTTGCTTAGTTTGGCATATAGACGATGCTCTCTCAAAGTCCGCAGAACGATCTTCAAATGCTCGTCATGCTCTGCCTCAGTACGAGAATAGATCAGAATATCGTCAATGAAGACCACCACAAATTGATCCAAATATGGTCGAAACACCCGATTCATCAAATCCATAAAAGCTGTAGGAGCGTTCGTCAAACCAAAAGGCATCACTAAAAATTCATAATGACCATATCTAGTGCGAATGGCCGTTTTTGCAACATCAGATCCTTTAACTTTCAATTGATAATACCC